TGCAGCTACTCTGGATGAGTCGAAGCTTTTCCTATGCACACTGAACGGGCACGGGACATAGCTAGGGCCTTATTAAGAGAGATCGTTCCAAGATATGGGCTGCCCCTTTCTATAGGATCAGACAATGGACCTGCCTTTGTGTCTGAGATAGTTCAGACCTTGTCCAAAGCTCTAGGAATCAAATGGAAGCTCCACACGGCCTACAGGCCACAGAGTTCAGAGAAAGTTGAGCTCAAAACCATGCTAGCTAAGCTTTGTCAGGAAACCCAGTTACCTTGGATTGATTTGCTGCCTTTGGCTCTACTCTGAACTCGATGCACTCCAGTGCCTTCAGGCTACTCCCCTTTCAAAATCCTTTATGGGAGACCTCCCCCCCGGTGATAGGGAAGTTAAAAGGAGACCCTCGATTAATGGCTGACCTAGAAATGTCCCAACACCTTCAGGCCTTAGGGAAAATCCTCCATCACATCGCTCAGGAAACTTTAGAAAGAGCCCCTATCCCTTTAGAGAATTGGGTCCACCCTCTTCAGCCAGGAGATGAAGTATGGGTTAAAAATTGGAAGAAGGAGCCACTCCAGCCAAGCTGGGCAGTCCCTCACACTGTTATATTAGCAACTCCCACTGATATTAAAGTTGCGGGTATCACCCTGTGGATCTACCACACCTGGGTAAAGAGAGCAGCATCTCTGGAAAAACAGGAGACTTGGGCTGCAGAGCTTCTTCCTGATCAGCCGCTCCGAATCATGCTCCAGAGGCAGCAGAAATCCACCTGAGATCTTCAGCCCTGCTCTGGCCACCCTGGAAGCTGGCCAGTCTGCATGGCAGAAGCCTGAGGATCAACCATCCAGACTGTCCAGATGTTCACCACAGTCGGCTGAAACCGGCGGCTCCTACAGAAACTCCTTCATGGACGGTGCAGACAGATCCCACCAACCCTTGTAAGTTGACCCTGAGGAAGACAACATGCCCTGCTCCAGCCACCAGCTGGAAGCTGGCTGGTCCACGCACGGTCGAAGCCTGAGGAATCTTGTCATGGGGCTCCTTATAATTGGATTCTAGGGAGGGAGGGAAATTAGGGCAGAGAACTGTGAACTGTGTATCCATGTCACCAAGGAAGGTCAAAGAATTTTCACTACTTTACTTTTCTATAGCTACTATGAATGCCAGGGAACTCAGAAAGGGACCTGTACCTAAAACCAGACTCAGGACTCAGTATGTGACCCAGGAAATAACCAACCTTATGTATGTTTGAACCCAAATGACCCTCCCACTGAAAGAGTCTTTGAAATAAGGGTAGCTTTAGGGGACTGGGGAGGATGGACAGATGGACCTGCGTTGGCCCAGACTAGAGTAAAAGGAAACTCCAGTCAGATTATCCTAAAGTTTGATGCTTGTGCTTCTGTGAGTCAGGGCCAATTGGAGGAAGGGAAATCCTGTGGCTCTCTCAGCTGGAAAAGAAGCTACAGGACAGAAAAAAAGTATATATATCCTCACAGCTTCACATGTGAAAGAAGCTGTGCCTATTTGTCATGTGTCCTATGGGCTACTAGGAAAAAGACACCACCACCACCACCAAGAAAGAGATGTATTTTAAAAAGGGGGTAGCTCTATCAAACTGCACCACACATAAGTGCAATCCATTAGAACCAATCATAATCAACTCCTGAATCCCTGTGGGAAGTCCAGGGAAATACTAACACTTGGCATTGACGGGACAGGACTATATTTCTATGTTCAAATTCATATCAGAGGTTAAGTACTAGACCATCCAGCTTGAGTCTTTCAGGTTTATAAGTCCTTCTACAAGGAAGTAAGTGAACCCAATTCCCATCACCACAATCAACTAAAACTTATTTCTCAAAATGGCTGAAGGAATAGCTCACTCCCTGAATGTCACTTCCTGCTATGTATGTGGGGGAACTTTGATGGGGGATAGATGGCCATGGGAAGCTACAGAACGAGTTCCCACCAAGACAATGCCAAATATAATGGCCCCACGCACCTCTGATGAGATTTTAAAGCATACTGTTAGAGGACAGTACTGCCTGGCTAGGGGTGGAGGAAATCTCCCAGTCAGTTAGAAACTTAATTTGGCTTGGCCTACGGTATTATAATGCCACCTCCAAACAAAGCGTGTGGTGGGGAAACAGGACAGAGAGAAATCTATTGGCCAGATTCCCAGAGCTAACTGGAGCCTGGCAGGACCCAGGCAGGGTCTGAGACTGGATAGCCGCACATGGGCTTTACTGGATTTGTGGAAACAAGGCCACATCTGTCTTCCCAGAAATTGGGAAGGGAGCTGTGTAATTGGCATGAAAAGGCCATCCTTCTTCCTCTTACCTCTGAAAATAGGGGAACTACTTGGTTACCCAGCCCCACAACCCTTACAGCGGGTAAAAAGAGAACTCCAAATAGGGGACTGGAAGAATGATGAGTGGCCCCCAGAGTGGATAATCGAATACTCTTGGCCTGCCACTTGGGCAGAAGATGGATCTTGGGGATACCATACCCCCATTTACATGTTAAACTGGATTATCCGACTGCAGGCAGTCTTAGAAATCATTACTAACGAGACTGGGAGAGCCCTGACCCTCCTTGCACATCAACGGACTCAGATGAGAAATACCATCTACCAAAACAGGTTAGCACTAGACTATCTATTAGCAGCAGAAGGCGGCATGTGTGGAAAATTCAATCTTACCGACTGTTGCCTACAGATAGATGACCAGGGCTAGGCAGTTGAGAATCTTGTCGAAAAAAATGACAAAGCTGGCACATTTGCCTGTGCAAGTATGGCACAGATGAAACTCCAGTAGCCTTTTTGGAGGATGGTTCTCTACCTTTGGAGGCTTTAAGCCCTTAGTTGGAATACGAGTTGGAATTATCGTCTTTCCTCCTCGGGGCCTGCCTCCTTCTCCTTTGCCTGTTGCCTCTTGTTCGGTCGATTACCTCCCTCATAGAGGCTATAGAGGCTGGCTATAGTAGAGAGAAAGACTGCAGCAAAGATCCTTATGCTGTGGAATTACCAACCCCTGGCCCCGGGAGATCAAGAGGTTGATGCCCTCCCTATAAGAATTTAGATGGGCATCAAAAGGGGGGAATGAAGAGAAATTTTCACTCAAAAGGCTAATCAGCTCTCTTTCTGCTTCTGTAAATACGCTTGCTGCATGGGCTATATTCGAAATTGACTAAAGACTCACTTTCCCTTTGCTTGTTCTAAGCAACAAATGTAACTGTTTGTACCCCCTAGCAACTCCTGTGCTTTGTAGCACTTTGTCACTGCGGTAGCCCTTATAATGCAATGTAACTACCTGCAACCATAGCAACTACCTCCGCTTTGTAGCGGCCTGAGTTCAAATTACCCAATCAGGCCATGCCAAGAAGGTCTATACAAGGAACGCTGCAACAGAGCCCCGGGCCCAGATCTTCAGAGCATAGCTTCTCTGAGTCTGCTGGCGTAATAAACCTGAGTTCTCCAACTTTCCAAATGCTACTTGGTTTCTCACCAGTCTGATTTTGGATCTTTTCCACAATAGTATAAATGCTTGGCATGTAGTAAACAATAAATATTAGCTATTATTTTCTTAGATTTTTAAAAAATTTAAGTTAGATTTTATATCTTTCTTTATTGGTTCAGTTTTGTATTGCTGGTTGCTAGATTTTGTATGTGTGTATGTATCCATGGAAAATGATCATCAACCCCAACCTGTGGACCAGCAATAATACCACTCTTGAGGATCATGAATTAAACTTTTGAGGATATAAAGTGGCCACTCATTCCTCAGCTTTCCCATAGCCAACTCATTTCCCTTACCTTTTTCCCTCTCTACCTAGGAAAATGGTTTTTTTGTCTCATAGGAGCATGAAAGGACACTTTGAGACTACCCAGCTATTAATGAAAGAGTCAACATTTTTTTAGTTCTTTGTAGATGCCAAGCCTGTGTAAGCATCTTACATGTATTATTATCTTGTAATTTTCACAACAACACTATGCAGTGGGTATTATTATCCCCATTTTACAGGTGAGAGAACTGAGGCTTGAGAAGTTAAGTAACTCGCACTACATCCCTCGATTAAATAAATATTAGAGCCAGAATTCAAAACCAGGTTTGCCTAACTCCAAAGTCAAGACCTAGGAAAAAGGAGTTGGACTTTGCGGGCTAATGAGATTGTCCCCAGCTCCTAGGCTCAACGTGCCCCCCTTGGGACCTCATGTCCTATCAAGGAAGTGTAAGATTCTTGCAGCTTTGAGAACCTGTGTAAGGTTCCCTGAGAGAGAGCCCCTATTTCAGTGGTATGCTGTATTTGTTTCCTGTGGCTGCTCGAACTAATTACCATAAACTTAGTATCTTAAAATAAGAGAAATTTATTTAGTTGTAGTGCTGGAGGCCAGGAGACTGAAATTAAGGTCTTGGCAGGACCACACTTCTTCAGAGGCTCTTGAGCAGATTCCAGTCCTTCCTTGCCTCTTTCAGCTTCTGGTGGCTGTTAGCATTCCGTGGCCTGTGATGTAGCACTCCAGTCTCTGCCTTCATATTCACATGGCCTTCTCCTCTGGCTCTATCAAATCTTTTCTGTATGTCTCAAGGAAATTTGATATTGGAATCCCAACAGGTAATCCAAGATGTTCTCTTCATCTCAACATCCTTAACTTAAAGACTCTTTTTCCAAATAAAGTAACACAGGTTCTAAAAATTAGGACATGGACATTATCTTTCAGGGGCCACCATTCAACTCAGTACACATGCTAGTAGGATTACTTTTCCCACAGCCAGGCAAGCTCCCATCCTTGAGCACTCGCTGTAGGCAGTCAGGACTTTTGATGTCTCTCAAGGCTACTTTTCCAGTGGAGTGACTCATTAACAATAGATTTCACAACTTGGTGTTTCAAGGGTGTTTCCATATTTTTAATGTCAAGGATGCATTTTAAGTCCAGATAAAAGCCTCTGGAGCCTTGAGTGATGTGGCAGCGTCTCTCACAAGGTCTGATTCTCTTTCAGATTGCTAACCTGCAGCTCAATAAACTGGACGAACTGGACTGTCTGATTCAGGGCCTGCTCTACGTTGACTCCGTTGGCTTCAATGGCAAGCCGGAATGTTACTATTTTGAAAATCCCACAAATCCTGAATTGTGTCAAAAAAAGCCGTACTGCCTTGATAACCCATACCCCATGCTGCTGGTAAACATGGGCTCAGGTGTCAGCATCCTAGCAGTCTACTCCAAGGACAACTATAAAAGAGTTACAGGGACCAGGTAACTTGGTTTTTATTGGAAAACTTTTTCATACCTAAACTCGGGCCTCTTCCTTGAAGACCAGTTTTTAAAAAGGTTATTTATATTGAATACATTTTTGAAAGAAGGCTCTTACCCTCAGTTAAACAAAAAGGATTTACTGGATATGTTATGAGGGTGATTTATATAAAGATTGACAACACAGCCCTTGCCATGCCAGAAATTGGTCAGGTTGAGGGAAGAAGGGTCACATACATCAGAAGTTTTCCTCAAAGGCAGTACATATTAAGTGCTAAATGAATGGCTGGGACAGTAAGCACAGGAGAATGCAGGTGGAAGGATGCTTAGCATGGTCAGAGAGGACTTCAGAGGAAACCATCTTTTGGAACCACCTTGGTGCCTAGCACAGGATGAATTGCTTGAAATAATACATCATTCCAAGCAGTAAACCAAACTGGGTTAATAACTAATGCTTGTTACCCTTGGATAAATGCTCTAGCTGAGAACTAGGATAGTTGACACACCACACAGGGAATTTTGGAAAGCAATGGACAGGAAAACAGTCCTGCTACCAGGACTGTTTTTAGTGCACACACATCCCAAGGGCAGATGGGACAGCTTCCTGTTACTGGGGGTTCAATCTGGGGTCAGAAATCTTTGAGAAAACCTAGTGTGAATAAAATCGAACGGGTATTTTTTTACTTCTAAGAGAATGATTTGGTATGAACTGTTTCTCCAACCTACTGGATCTCAGAGCCCATTTTTGGAGGGACGCATTAAGGAACAAGTGTCATGTGGAGTGTGCTTTGGGACATGACATTGAAACCATTATTTTTGATAGATGAAGATGTCATGTAACTTCCCTGGGCCTCAGTATCCTTATTTGTGCCATGAAGGGAGTTTTTTCTTAGATCGTTTCTACAGACTTTGCCAGTACTGAAATTCTGCAGTACTAGTCACCCATTAGGATGAGAGCATTGCTTTTCTCTATTTCCATGACTTGTGATAGGTCTGTATAAATCAGTGGTTCACCACTGGTGAAAGTAAGATTTATCCCACCAGGGGATCTTGGCAGTGTTGGAAGACATTTTTTAATTGTCACACTGGAGGTGGGATGCTACTGGCATCTAGTAGCTACAGGTTAGGGATACTGCTAAATATCCTACAATACAGCCCTCCACAAGAAAAAGGTATGGAGCCCCAAAAGCCAGTAGTTCTGATATTGAGAAAGCCTGGCTTACACACACACACACACACACACACACGACTAAATCCTGCTTGTGTCCAGAATATAGGTTTTGGTGTAAGTTCATTGCCACTAGGCATACATTTTCTCACTTAGAACGCAGAACTAAGCCTCCTTGCCCACACAAGAATCACAGGTGATCCCATGGCCTCATTAGGACTGTTAGTGTATTAGAGACAAATGAATATTTCAACTGAGCTGGTTTTACCTTAGTGATCTCCTAATTAAGGTACAACTTTTAAGAAACTACAGACTTCCTCCCAGAAGGAGTAATCGAATTGTTAAAGCTAACCCCAAGAAAAAATAAGCTAAACATTTTCTACAATTAGATATTTATAATTTTGTTGATTGACACTTAAATTCATGAATTACATCACAGGTGACCTTCTCAAACTCAGAAGTTCCAGGGATTTGGGTCATCTTGAATAGCTAGCTGCTAATAATAAGCTAATTGGGGTGTTTGGCTTCTATTCCATGTGTAAATAAGGCCTGTTAATTTTAGTTATTGTTAAATGCCCATTAATGACCAGTGGTTTGCAATCATCCACAGATCCTGTCTGGATGTCCAAGCTTAGCAACAAGTTCTCTTTAACCAGTAGTTTTGGAAATGTGCTACAGGAAACTGAACGTTTAATAGAGAGTTCTTTCAGGGGCTGCCACAGGTAGGGGAGTGTAACGAAACATCAGTTCTGGGCCCCAGATCCTCTTTGTCTAACCAGAGTTGTTCTACTAAAGTTTTCTTTTGATCTCAGTTAAAAACCACTGATAAAATGGTCATGGTCAGCAGTGAACATCAGTGTGTGGAACACACACTGGGAATTACTCGTCTCAGCAAATGGCTTAAGCTTAAAGTTTTGCTGCTTCTCTTGTGAACTGATAGCTGTAACTCCGGGCTTTTGTTATGGTATTATACTCTATTTTCTTATTAAGCATTTTTGTTTTTAGAAAGCCACATCATTACAGATATCAGTTTTCCTTTTAACATGATTTCAAATGGTTTGTTTCAGTGTTATGTGTAATTTTATTGCCTTCTGTATTACATAGCGACATTTTTTTTCTATTGACTCTAATTTTGTTGGTTAATGCAAAATAACAGGGCTTTACAGCTGACATTGTTAGAATGTGTATTCTATTAAAAGAGGAATGTAAAGAATTTTGAAATTTCATTGGGAGTTGCAGTATAGCTCATCTCATTGTTTTGGAATCTGTTTTAAGGGCACAAGCACTCAATAATTGAAGGTTTCTTCTACTTCTCCCTAAAATCCCTCACTACAAGGCTGTTTTTTATTTGTTTGTTTGTTTTGTTTTTAAATAGAAAACAATGATATTCAAAGGCTGTTTCTAGCATTATGTTTTTGTGTCTGATTTGCTGAAGGTCTTACCATCTGCCGGAACAGATAGATGTATCTGATTAGAAGCAAGAGAATCACTGGATTAAATAATAGTTAGCAGGCTGGGGATATTTAAATAAAGCGCTTTTCTGCGACTGTGCATTCTTTCCTCCTGTCTGCAGTGTTCCAGCTGTGCAAGTGCATGCTCGCTTTCCCCATTCAACTTCAGTGCTTTGTCTGGAGTCACCTGTCATTTTCCAGACATACCAAGCCCTTGCCCTTTTTCACTCATACCGATACGTCAATTGATGAGTTGCCTTCTTTCTAAGTCAGCCAGTGTCTTCAGTTGTTTATGTTTGGAGTAGGTTGTTGAAAGCCTTGAATACCAATACCTGATATTTAAAGAAAGATTATTAGTGTTGATGAAAGATAAAGCTAGAATTATGAGCAAAGACTTTTTAAAACTACACAGAGAGAAAACAAGACACATCCAGGTGACTTGCAAACCAAAAAGTAATCCCGTTAAAACACAGTCCCTTTGTAGGATAAACTGAAACTGATAACATAGCATGACCCGCCATGTTAAATGTAAATAAAGATAAACTCTCCTAGAGGAAATCCAAAATTTGCATTGTGACTGAGTTGTCAAGGCAATAATGTCCATGGAGCTCTTTATGTCCTCATGGTACTATGGCTACAGTTTGGATAGCTGCAACTGGTGGTATCTAGCTATGTGATTTTCCACAGCAACCCTAAATGTCAATCAAGTATGTATTTTTGTAAGAATCACTACTTAAGAAATATTACATACAGTTTCGCTGTAGATACGATTTAAAGAACTATGTGCCTATCTACAGTCTGGTGCCTTCTTGTTAGTGGTTATGGACAGTAAATATATTTACCCTAAATTTTCTTTTTTTAAAAAAAAATATTTAAGTTAAAAATAACCTTAATCTCTACTTGAATTTTCTTTTAGAATTAGAAGCCAGTACTGAAATACATAGGGGCTTCCTAGAGCTAACGCTCTTGGAGCTTCAGAACAAATTGATGTGAGCAGTTTATTCTTCTACATTTAGTCTTCTGAGTGATAAATAAAGACTAAAACCCATGGTCATGTCAGTGCTCCTTGTCCTGACAGAAGTTCACTGGTGATAGCTTTACTCTGAACCTGCTTTGCTTTCCCTCAGGCAACTTTGATATTAAAACACAATTGAGTTCATTCTCAACTACCATAATTAGTTTCCAATTTTGTCTAAAAAGACTCTTTTAAGAGAATTCCAACTCCCCCCCGCCCCAAACAATGGAAAGCTTTTAAAACAGTTTGAGCCTTATAACCTTTTGTGACCCTTGTTACTATTTTTGACTTGGTGGTAAGTAAAATATTAATAACCTTTTCTAGAGTCCAGTAGAAAAAAAGTAGTATGAGACCAATCAGTAGTTTCCTTTCAGAAACTTCCGAGTAAGTTAAATGATATTATTTCTGCTACAGAAGTGAGGTCAGGTGAAAGCTACGGCTTTGGAGCTGGCTATTCCTGGGTAAGTCCCAGGTCAGTTTTGTCATCCACAGAGTTTGGCCCCATACATGTGAACTATGCACCATAATTTTTTCTAAGTATTTATATTCCAGATACATATATATATTTTTTTAAAAATATATACCAGTTATTACTTTGCTTATTTGCTGCTTTCAGACCACACGACTAGGAGAGATCATGATTTAGCCCCATTTTATAGTTGGGAAGACCAAATGAGGCACTTAGGTTAGTGGCTAGTTGAAGGTCTCACAACAGAAATCAGTGAGAGTCTCATTCTGGTTTTGTTTTTAAATTCATGGGCAAGTTTTTCTTGGTGTTTCTTTTTAGTCTCTGCCCTCATTTTTATCCAATCTACCCTCAAGCTCTTTTGCACCCTTAACATCTTACTTCAAGTGCCCCTTTGTTTTTTCTTCCATCTTTATTAACCCAGATTAGTGGTCTTGATGTAGTTGGGGACTTGGATGGGCATATCTTTAAGTAAAATTTAAAAATAAACCTTATTGTTCCTTCAGTCTTGGAGGTGGAACATTCCTAGGCCTATGTTGCTTGCTGACTGGTTGTGAGACCTTTGAAGAAGCTCTGGAAATGGCAGCTAAAGGCGACAGCACCAATGTTGATAAGCTGGTGAAGGACATTTACGGAGGAGACTATGAACGATTTGGCCTTCAAGGATCTGCTGTAGCATCAAGGTAGACACTAAGTAGCTAGGAGCAGTAGTGATTAAACACAAGGCAGCATCTCCACCCTGGCTATTCATATAGTTAGTTTTACAAATTTTAACCCACCAGCCTGGTGCAAGTATCTGTGGGATCTGAGCTCAGACTTGGTCTCCTGCCCTTTGTGAAGCACTGAGATGTTTAGCTCTTGATGCTTGTGCTTAAAATAGAGCAGCTTTGAAAGGAGTTTCTGGAAAACTTGCAACAGTTTCCCCTGTTTCATTCTTGTTCAGACATCTAGAGGAATATAAAAACCTTTTTTCCCCCCCATTAATAGCCATGCTATTGTGTCCCTATTAAGTAAAGGGCAGCCAACCATTCATATCATAATCCTGTCTGCTTGTAAACCATGGCAGTGGAATCAGGTCATTTGAGTTTGAACAGTTATTCATACAGCTTTCCACAGTACCTTGGTGGAAGTATGGGGTCTGCCTGAGGATGATTTTGAACACTCTCGCTAATATTTCCAACATAGCTTTGGCAACATGATGAGTAAGGAAAAGCGAGAATCCATCAGCAAGGAGGACCTCGCCCGAGCCACACTGGTCACCATCACCAACAACATCGGCTCCATTGCTCGGATGTGTGCGTTGAACGAGGTGAGGCCTTAATCCAGGGAAAGCCACGCGTCATTTATCCGCATCACCTTTAGTAGTGCAATAACTATCGACTCTTACACAGCTTCAGCTTCTTGGGAAACCTGCGCTTCATTATAGTCACACTTCATAGAATGTGAGGGCTGTGGTTTGAGGGAGGAGGAAGAATATATGTATTGTTTTAAGTAGGCACTGGATGATGAATAAAACCATCCAGCCTTAGAAGAAACATGGTCGAATTACAATTCATGCCATCACCTCTCTGACCATCATTATTACCACGTGCCTCCTGAAGTGTGAGGAAAAGCTCTTTGCATCCTTGCAAATATTTTCAGAGGAAACGTTTCACTTGCAGTATTCGATATTCTCTTTGCTTTCAGCTTCTTTACAGTGTTGCCTTGTGGCATGGAGTTCAAGCAGCATTGTACAGGGCTATCAAAGCACAGAGAGCTCACTACAGCTGAGGCCAGCCAGAGCCCCAGGTACAAGAAAGGGTGGAGCCAGTGACAGACAAAGCTTTGGTAACATGTTTTGAAATATTGCAAAATTCCTTTGGGAAATAAAAAAGGGAACCCTTTTCTGAAATACAAGATGTGTAAAGTAGAACAGCTGTCACTGAGCTGTGTTAGGAAGACAAGAAAGAGGAGTTAGACATGGAACAGGTAATAGTAGGAGAAGTGTTAAAGAATCATAGTAGCATTGGTAATAGTTTTTAAAAATAAAATTTTTATTAGAAATATGACAGAGCTCAAATCATAAGTGTGCAGCCTGGTGAATTTTCACACACACACCTGAATAGCCACCACTCAGATCAAGAACTAGAACATTATAGGTACTGAAAAATCCCCTCCTAATGTTAAACAGAGTATGAGGCAGTCTTTATGATAGTCTCTGCCCTCAGGTGTCAGCCCTGCCTTTGAGCTCCGGGATTGTAAGAGACACTCACAATATTGCATAGAATATGTCACTGGCCTATTGGTTAGGGTGGTACTTTTTATAAGGGCCCATTTCAGATAGAGTTTAAATGCAAGAATGTATTACAGAGACATGCCTTTTCAAAGTCCACTTCGGTTATAGGACTCACTGTAACAGAGAATTTGTTTTTTGATATTAATTTTAAAGAGAGTTTTTCCAAGTAGCCAAACAAGCTTTAAAACTTAAGCCTTGTGTGTGTACTTGGCTATACTCATAGACCTCAAAATTCAGTTTGATGGGAACAGAGCAATAGGACTTTCCCCTGCTTTCCACAGAGTTTGAGTGAGCCAGCAGGTCTTTTTACAGATATTGTAATTTGTATCATATTTAAGTGAAGCTGAGCCTTTTTTTAATCTGTTAATAACCATTAGTATTTCCCCTTGTGTGTGTATAAACTATATATTAATACTGTTCACTCATTTTTCTCTTGGGTCGTTAGTCTTTTTCTTACTGATTTGTAGGTAACTAATCCATTTTATACGTACTGAAAATATTTTTGGTTTATTGCTTTTCATTTGAATTTATTCATGGTGATGTTTTTCCCTGAATAAATATTTTATTTCTTTTGAAGTGAATATTATCAGCCTTTTTAATGGATTCTGAGTATTAGACCTTTCTATTTCAACATTTTTAAAAAGAATTCTCTCATGTTTTCCTCTAGTCTTTGTCTATTTCTTTTTTTATTCTTTTCTCTTTTATTTTCACATGTATATCTTTGATCTACCTGGAATTTATTTGAAATAAGGAGTGTCCATCACCTTTTAATACCACTTGTATTCCTTCTGCCTTTCTAGCAGAGTAATGCAGGACTGGGGCTTTGAGCAAGTCCTACCTTGAACTCCTTTGTTTTGGAGAAAATGGCAAAACACCTACATTTAATTAAGTTTCTTTTTAATCTGAGTTTCTTACTTTGAGTGTTCCTTGCCACCTCTTAGTCTGGGTGGTTTTTGACTACGGTCATTTGTGGAAACTTATTAATACCACCTCTCACCCCTCTGCCCATGGAAATTTTTCACAATGGTTAATGGGTTCATGAATATGCAATTAAAAGATAAGACAATTAAAAGCTGATGTTCTTAGACTCTGTTACTCTTGATAGACTGAACAGAAAATAATGCCACTTTCCAAGACTCTCTTCTCTCTGATATGAGTGACCGTAACAACTGGCTCCGTGAGTCAGTGAGTGGTGAGCAGCCTCTGCATGATAGACAGGGCTGAGCTAGTGTTAAGTGTGTATTCAGAATGCAAATCTGTATCCATTAGAACGAAAAGATAAGTGTATTTTTCATTACTGTATTTTAACCCACATGTTGAACAAACAGGATATTCCACCATATAGTCTTAAGGTAGAGACTAAGTATTGTTTCTTTTCGTATTCCCAGTGTTTGGTACAGAGCAAACCAAGTAAACACATTTGATGAATAACCCGTATCATGGCCATTTCATTTATGAATTGGTTAGAATAATATTTTATAGTTGAGAGTTTGGGTGGGGGGCGGTTCGAAGGAATGCACGAGCAAATTTAGCTGAACTTGAATTCCAGTTACAATTTTTTTTTAGGCAAGGCGACCCTTGGTTAACCTCACAGATTGCAAGGACTTTGTCAACTTACAATCCCTTCTTTTTTCTTTTTTCTTTTTTGCACCTACAGCACCTGGTCTTCCTAGGTGGTCTTCCATCCAAGTACTAACCAGGCCTGACCCTGCTTAGCTTCCGAGATCAGATGGGATCAAGCTTGTTCAGGGTGGGATGGCCGTAGACTCCAGTTACAATTTTATGGATAAGTGTTGGGGGCAGAATTTCATATGAGACCTAAGGCAACCGAATATACCTGCAAATAAGCCCAATGTCAGTCTCTGCCTTGTTCAACCTAAATCTCACCCTCTTGTTCTTATGGAATGCACTTTGAAGTTTCTTCAACTTCATCTTGGAAATGCTGAAATAATTCCACTTAAAAATTTTATTCTGCAAGGTCCTGGGAGTACAGTGATGTACGGAACATTGGGTCTTTGCTAAATGCTATTTTTATACCATGGTTCAATTTTTTTTCTTTCTTTCCCAGAATATTGACAGAGTTGTGTTTGCTGGGAATTTTCTCAGAATCAATATGGTCTCCATGAAGCTGCTAGCATATGCCATGGATTTTTGGTCCAAAGGACAGCTAAAAGCTCTGTTTCTGGAACATGAGGTAGGTTGACCTTGCGTGGACTTATTGTTTTATGTGGAAGTTTTTTGGGTTGTCTAACATATGTTAGCATTTATGCAAAGGATAAGGAAAAACAATATATAAAATGGAAGCTCTCTTATCCAACAATCGGGACTGGTAGTTGGTTAGTCAAAAAAAAAATCAGTTAAAATGCATAGTCTTTTAAAAATATCTTCCTTCAAATATGTAGTGACAGAAAGAAATCTAACAATGAGCGGTGAACACACAATAAATGTATAAATACCTTACTGTTAAATTGTATGCCTGAAACTTACTGGATTAACCACTGTCACCATAATAAAAAAAATTTAGAAAAATAAAAATAATTTAACCATTTTATTTTCACATAAATGTATAAATGTTCATTCACTCACCAATTTTTTGATGTCAGACCAAGGCTTGTTTTTGAGCATGTATTCTACTAATTAGAACTCTGTAGTTACAATTCAATGACAGCAACAACAAAAAAACAAATGATCCAATCAAAATTGGGCAGAGGACCTGAACAGATACTTCTCTTTAGAGGACATACAAATGGCCAACAAATATACGAAGAGATGCTCAACATTGCTAGCTATTAGGGAAACATAAATCAAAACCACAATGAGATACCATCTCGCACCTGTTATAATAGCTATAATCAACTGGACAAGTGATAACAAATGTTGGAGAGGATGCAGAGAAAAAGGAACCCTCATACACTGCCAGTGGGACTGCAAATTGGTACGGCCACTGTGGAAAACAGTTCCTCAAAAAACTAAGAGTAGAATTACCACGTGACTCAGCAATGTCACTCTTAGGTATATACCCCCCAAAATGGAAAACCTGTACATAACAAATACATGTACACATATGTTCATAGAAGCCCTATTTGCAATAGTCAAAAGGTAGAAAATGGCCCAGATGTTTACTAAGGGTAAATGGATAAACAAATTGTTTTATATCCATACAATGGAATGTTATCCTGCCCTAAAAAGGAATGAAGGACTGATGCATGTCATAACATGGATGAATCTCAAAAACATTATGCTAAATACAAGAAGCCAAACACAAAAGTTGTTATATATTCCATTTATGTGCAATATTAAAAGAAGATCA